ACACCGCAGGTACAAGTTCCAGAGGTGGGAAAAACGACAAGTACAAGGGCAAGCCAATGAGAGACAGAAGCAAGTGAAAAGAAAATTGCCCCGCGGAAAAATTGAAGGTAACAAGAAAAAGAAGCCGTTCCACCGTCCAGAAAAAGAGAGTTCACGAACACCCCCAGAATGAAGAAGGGAGAAGGACGACGTATGTGGAAAAGACCAGGAGAAAGGACGGCAACTATAACCCGGCTGTGAAACGGAAGATCTGACTCATCCGACAGAACTCTCCGCAGCAAAAGTCGCCGAACTGCGGAAGGGCCATCAGCGGCGGAGGAAAAAGTACAAGAAAAATTTGAACGGCCAACAACGAGGTCCAAGCAGGATCACGACAGAAGTTTCCCGGTTCCACCAAGACCAGCTGCCTTCAAACGGCCAAGACCACAAGCAGAGGACAGAAGGAAGATGTTCAAGGGTGGCCGTAACTGGTGAAAAACGGAAGCTTCCAGAGGAAAGCACTGAAGGGCGAGCCCGTACAAGAAGGAGGATCAACCAAGCTACGGTCTGCAGCTACCTTTAAAGACTGGGCCCAGAAAAGGATGTCCGAATATTACAAAGATAAGTAAAATTTTATGTTACTTTGCAAACTTAAGTTAATCTTTCATTCTTACTGCAAGTGGCAGATTTCAAGAAGTTTTACCTCATGCGAGGTCTACCTTTATCGCCAAAAGGGCGAGAAATGAGTTGTGACCGATTTTCTTATTATGTTTTTCAATTACTCGCGCGTAAAACTAAAGTTGATGTATAATAGCGTTGTGTAAAGACTTAAATATTGTAAAAAGTTATTGTATAAATTTTATTTAAAACATTCTAACAAGAAAGAAGTTTTAGTCTGAAAGACTTTTTGAAATGTAGTATTATTTCAATGTAGAAAGAATTGGCACTTGCTTTGAAAAGAATAGAAGTTAACAATGTACTACTAATGTATGTTTTCAAATGTGTGTAAAATTAACGGCATGTTGATATGTTCTTATATACATGTGTGAACTGTTATTTTGAAATGTTTAAGAAATACCGTGATATGGTAAAAGTGAAAGTAATGTTAAAAATTTGTTATTCGTGTGACTGTAAAGATTAAATCATGGTGAATATGTGTTAAAGGTTGAATGATGTAGTTAGGCTCTCTGACGCTACACTTTAGAGTTAGCCACTTTCAGAATAGTACCTCAGGGTTTAGAGTTGAAATTAGGGTGTGTTAAGAGGTCTCGTTATGTTGAATTTTAACACGTTAGTGTTTTGATTGTAGGAGGAAGTGTTGAACACATAGACAGAAACACATTCATGTTTGGTGTTTTTACAACACATGTCAGAGAGCACGGGGAGAGATAATTAAAATAGTCATGAATGAAATAAGAATGTTAAGAAAAGTATATTTTATATGTTATTTGCAATGTCATTGTGTAACATTTCATTAAACTAGTTTTCCTTCCAGATCTCTGGAAGGAACCAGAATTGAATAAAAGCTCCTGTTTAGATGCAGTACAGATGAAAAAGAAAAAAGATTGTTGTTGTATATTCCGGGAGCTGCTATTGTAACAAATTTCTTTCTTTTAAAATTTTCTAGTTTCTAGCTAAGTTATGTTTGTAAAAGATTGGCCTCGCGTTAGATTTCTAGAGCTAAAAGTTTTCAACAAGGTCGTTTTAGACCTCAGTTTCAAACTAATTAACTCTGGCGGGAAGTATGTAAGGATCTTAAGTTTTACTAACGTTTATTTTATTTTAAATCTTTACTATCACTTCTTATTTTCTACTTCCGGCCAGAATTATAAGCGTGAAGGAGTTTATGCAAAGTTTGTCTGGCGAACGCCAAGTATTTAAGTTGTGGCCTTTTTGCCAAGCAGAGAGAGAGGAAGCCGTGAGTTCGAAGCAGGCCGCTTACCTTAGAAGTTTACGCAGTTGCTACTTTGCCTTCCAGGCCAGAGGTTTTAATCCTCTTGATAAATTAAACGTATTGTAGTGTTCACAGTCTCTGTGCTACATACGCTTCCTGTTATTATAAGGCCAATCTTATTTTCTAAAGTTAAATTAGAGTTTAGTTTTATTTTTATATCTTTTACGTTAGACCCCGAGTGGAGGGTCATTGTATTCCGAAGTACGGAAGTCATTGTATATAAAGAAAAATAAAGGGTTTTGTATACCCTTCGTCTGTATCCTGTCTACTTACTACAATTAGTGAACATAGCTTTAGTAAGCTCTCTGTTCTAGTCAGGTCATTGTATGTTTCCGAAGAAGGTTAGAAGAAACATTGAACCTGATACACATTTCAAAAATATTAGTTAATACATAAAAAAAAGAAAAAAAATTAAACTAGCGAAAATGTTTTTTTAACTTTACCGATAATAAATGTTGCTTTATTTAAAAAAATATATTTACTTGACAAATGAAACATCTATGCACGACGGGGCGTTAAAAATGTGTCTTTTGCTTCTCACAGGGAAATATACTGCTGTTACATCTCTCAATTTATAAAAAGCAGACTTATTCAGCTCTCCCAGAATCTGCAAATTATATTTTGTCATGTAGGACTGTATAAGCTATGTAAAAACCGTACATTTCCTTCGAAGTACAAAAATAACAAGCATATCATATGCAAAAATTTGGCTATTCCTTTCCTTAGATGGAATCATTTGCAAATCAAGCGTATTAATGATAGAGTTGCTTAAGCCATGAAACACTGGTAGTATGCAGCGAATTGAGGTATTAAATCCCACTAAGATTACAACAAGTAACAATTTCGTTATCATATTAATTAGGAAAATGTTCCGGTAATTTGAGAAAAACATTCATTACGATAATCTTAGTCGAACTATTTTTTCAGGTTTATGACGTTTTCCAGCTGAGGGTGAAAATTATACATGTATGTCGAAGGTGAAGCACATACCATAACAACTGCTTTTTTTCTCTTCCCAGTCAGTGAATAAATGCTGTAATTGCTTTTCTCATCAAGAGTGGGGAGAGGTTGGGATTGCTGGAATTTGCAGTTTCGCCAATAATGCCAAAAAAAAGGAATGTCTTTTTGCTGGTCATCGAATGATTGACAGGATTTAGCAATTTTTTAAACAAAAAGCTGGACGCAACGTAATCTATCATTTCACACATTTTTTTCCTTCCGTTCTCTTTGTTCAACAGTATTCATATTTCCCAGAGTAATTATTACACTATTAGTTTTGGAAATGGTAGAACAATATTCTACAGTGGACACATACACTTTCTTACTATATCCAGTGTTCTCAACTTAGGTTGACCTGTAATATAGCTCAGACCAGTTAGGGGAAAGAGAAAACATTAAAAAAGAAAAGGAAGAAAGAAGGAGAATGTGTATAAAAAATTGCCTTTTTTGGCTCGTACAGTTCATTCAGTTCATCCATCCCCATCATGTTTTTGTTGTTTGGTCATGCCTCAAAATATCCAAATGCAAAGATAAAATGATGAATGGTAATGGTTTTCACATCAGTTAAGTCATGTGGCTAATGTATGAGCATCAGTTTCTGTTCTGCGCTTCTGGTTTTGATAGATTTATCGGTGTAAACAAACTGGAAATCACAGCTCTTTAAGTTAAAGGGATACCGGCATGTTTGTTTATTTCATTAGGAATTTTGTTTTTTTGTTGTCTTCATTTTTATTCTTTGCGTTTTTAGTTGTTAGAATGTGGAGAAATGCATCCAGCTCAATGTTTTCTTTTCTTTTCTTTTTTTTTTTTGGACAATGTGGGTGTAATGTTACCGAACTTCCATTGTGGAAAAACTTATACCAGTTGCCTTTTTTAAATTTTATTTTAAAAATTAACATAGACATTTTTGGTTAGTTAAAAAGTAACTTTAAAGCATTATTACAGAAGGGGAAAGATATCAGGTCTCCCGATGCATGATGTATCTTACTTGCTCAGCAAAAAAAGCCGCCATTGTCCTGTGTGTCGATTCTCATTTTGAATTATTCCATATACAACAGAATTATTAAATTGGAATTTAATTATCTACTGATAATTATTACTTAATTTTCTTTTACATACCATATTTGTAATTTTGTTTTCATGTGTATAGTATTTGTTTTCATGCTTATAGTTATAAATAATTTTATTATTTTGCATGTTTCATTTATTCTATTAACCACTTGTGCTACAACAAAACTTCACAGTTGCGGTGCCGTGCACTACAATATAACAAGCGGTAAAGTGTCTCATTTATGCCGCTCCGTGTCTGCGATTCAGAGCAGTAACTTGAGAAATAAACAATCTCGTTGTTAGGCGATGTGTGCACCACATTATTTTCATTTTTACGATAAATGCCTATCGACGTGGTGTTCACGTCGCTCACGGTTTGAGACAAAAGCATCTCGAGGTGCGTGGCACGTCTTTTAAGCGCAAGTGGTTAATGTGAACTCTTTATATCAATATATTTTAATAATTAGTATATTATGTAACTTCAAAAATTGAGGTCATTATATTAAAATGCTGGTTTTATATGAATTTTTTGTAAAAGTAGGCTTAATTGCTGTAAATGCATGGAGTGGTGGTGGTATTCCATTTCAAGGTGTTTGGTCCCATGGTTGTGCTTTGTTCTCCGCGTGTTAACAAGCATGGCATAAGTATATCTAACAAAATCTCAAACACAAATTCTTATGGAGCCCACCACCAGTCAAGCAGTACAATTGCTGAATGCTGGTAGCTGGCCTGGGTTTCAGTTCCCAAATGGACATTTTCATGTGTAACATGGATGTGAGACAACTTCCCTACCCCACCATGAAAGTATCCAATTCATATGGGTCATCCAAAAAGTTTATAAATGAATATTAATAAGTAAATAATTCATTAGTATAAAAAGAAACTCATAAATTTTTAGACCTATTTGATACTTTATAAAAGCATACACAGTTCATAAATTTGAGATTTAGAGAAGTTCAAATTCATTGCATACGTTAGAAGTCATAAAAAAAGCTTCAAAATGTAACAGAATAATTACCAAATATGGGCTAAAATTTGAGGTGGTAATCCTGACATAAGGAATAAATTTTTTGCTTGTTCTCCTGGAAACGGAAGAAAAACAGAGCATAAATGATTACTGTAATTAACACTGTAATGCAAAGAAAACATTACATTATAGCACAGAAGAGCAAGTTTTAATATTTTAAAATTTCACCTGTAATATATCCATTCACTGGTTTTAATTGGTAGAACTTTTCATCATATTTCATTTTAGCTTCTGGGCGTATTTTCCACAAATCTGCAGATGCAGGATGCATGGTTTGTTTTTTTGATTTGATGACACAAAACTTTAAGGAAATAGACTTATTTCCAATCAGAAAGAAGAGATATTGTCAACTGAAAAGAAAATGTTAGAAAATTTAGAAGTATATCCTTATTAATTAACAGACACTGAAATAAATAAATGCATATATCCTTTAATTTTTATTTAAAATAGTTTTCAATTTTATAGATATGATAAAGTATTTAAATATTTTAAACTGCTACATATAGGTTAACTGAGACTGCTAAATATAATTAATAAATAAATTAAGATAAATACATCTTAATATTTTATGCTACCTCCCCTTTATTACTAAACAAAAAATATACTTTAAAAATATATATCAGGGTTCGTACACATTTCCTTACATGAAAATTAAGGACTTTTAAGGACCATCAAAGAAAAAATTAAGGACCTATTAGAATTCAATTTAATACTTAACATAAAACAATTTTGAAAATTAAACTAACTCCCTACAAGTTATGAAGTAGATAACATTAAATTAAGAACATAATTTCTTGAAAAACATGTATAAGTGTAATTTTTTTTACACTAATAACAGCCACAGATATTTTAGAGATTTACATGATTATTATTTAACTTATTTATTGATATTTATTTAAAAAACACAGTCAACTACTATTATAATTGCAATGTAAGAATATTTTGCAGATTTAAATTTGTAAATACATTTATTTTGGTTTTTTGAAAGATACTAGAATAATAAAAAATAAAGATACAAAAACATTTATGCTTTTTTTTTAAAAATCTGAAAATTTTTCAGATATTTTAAATCTAATTTACTTATGTCTATTTCCTTTCTTTAACTATTCTTCTAAGTTCATTTGCTTTGATAAACAACAATGTTCTTGCTGGTCTCTCGACTTCATCTAAAAGCATCTATCGAAGCTGCTGCTGATCTCATTTCTTTATTAATTTCGATATTAAGATGCCTCCAGAAAATTTTATGTAATCAAATAGTGTGCGTTGAAAAAGTATGATGAGTCACTTAAATTTTCAATTTTCAATTGCTTTATTTACAGAGCAAGCCCCTTTCCACAGATGTCCTGTCCATGTGACAAGATAAGAATCATTTTCAATATTTTCCATACTTTTGAATAGTGAAAATTATGAAAGTAAGAAGTGAGAAATGTGTCAAGAGAAAGATTTTTAAGATCAAAAGTAGAAAATTCATGTAAATTTGTCTTAACTACTTTGTCCAGAAACTCTCTAAACTGCAGCAGAATTTCATCACAATCATCTTGTAGAACATGTTTATTCTGCGTTAATACCGTTAGAACTATTTTAATTTTGTTCTGTGCTTTTTCTGGACTTTTAGCCATCAATCGTGGGTCTATACAAGATGCATTTCGAGTAAGAGAATAATTTATTGGACATTTAGCCATTAAGTGCTGTACCATTGTTAAGACACATTATTGACCTTATTGTTTCAATGCAAAACTTGCAGCTTGTGAAATGTCCTTCTTGCGGCATTTATCATTCATTAACTGCTCAGCAATGAATCCCAAATAAACTTTACTTTTATCATTATAACAATTTGGATCATTAAAATTAAATTTATAAAGATTTCCTGCTTTAGTTATTTTTGAATATTCTAGTTTCAAAATTTTAAAGTGCTAAAAGCAATCATTTACTAGTTTTAAGATATCTTCAGCAAAAAAAGGGAATAAGTGGTTTATCGCTTTGATAATATTCAAGGAAAGGCAATAAATATTTTCGATAGAGAGAGAAAAAAATTTAATTTTATAAGAAGTGTTTTAGCCTTAGCTTTGCTCTCCAAAATATTTGAGAACGATTTCAAATGAATTTTTTTTAAACTGCCCCATTTCAACTTTTTCAATGTTAATGTAGCAAGTCATCCCATATCTCAATGGCTCTTTACAACTGCTGGGACATTTTGCAACCATCGGTAAAAGCAGAACTTCACAGCAGAAAATTTTAATTAAAACATTATTTCTTTATCTATCGATGGAGCAAAGATAAAATTTCTGCAATAATTGGTTTTATTGTTAAACAAAAATGTATGAATTTTTCCTACGCTTATATTTTAACAACTAAAACATGTACTATATCGATACAAAATTGCGACACCACAAAATATTCTAGGCAAGCATTCCTGCAGAGATTCCGTTACATCGCTAAAATTGCCATACGAATGCTATATTGGAAATATCATAAACACATTTTCTCTGTGTAGCAACCATTCCGCTTATTGGTCATTTTCTTTTAATTTATTAATCTTCCGTTTCTTTTATTTTTTCCTCATCATTTCAACACTGACTTTTTATTCAGGATTTACTTTTAGCTTTTATTTTAATTTCTAGTTATAAATAGGTGTGAAATTACTTAATAACAAAAGATAATTTCAATCATTATCACAATTGAAATTTTATATCGACCAACTATTTGGATAACTGATGCGATATTAAAAATTCAATAACATTCTTCTGAAAGCAGTATTCCTTTTATAAAAATACTTGGTAAATTCTAGTTTACGGTGCAGCCTTGGCGCAGTTTTGAAATTATGCGCCAACACCCAAAAATGACCGTTTAATACTCATCGTTTATGTCCTGTTTACTGCTATATAAGTCGCCAAAAGTACCAAATCCCTTTGCAACGATACCTTGTGCATAGGATTAAACCAAAATTCCTAATTGTCTATTGAAGCTTCAAAACGCATTTCTGAACTTCACTTTTTTCGGCTAGCATTACCGAATTTGCCCTTGGCGACCTAAAATCAAAATGGAGCCAACAGATTTCCTGCGAAATCGATAACAGATCCTCTGCAGAAATAAACTCATAATCCCGATATCCCATACATATATGTGCAAAAGAGAATAAACTCCGTAGAAGGTGATCAAAAATTAATTTATGGCTTAATTCAAAATAAAACAAACAAACACAGAAATTAAGAAATTGACAAACACAGAAATTAAACACAGAAATTAAATTAGCAAAACCGTGTAAAAACAAATTGAAATGATAAAACAAAACTTAGCTTTCATGTGAATTTTCAGTGCCGACTCTCCCATTCTAGAAATTTCAATTTGTTTCAGACAAAGACCGCATTTAGCTTTAAAAGCTTTGTCATCCATCAATATCCAGTCTTTGTAGTCAGCTTGATGAGGCCACAGCTTATTGAAAATGCACTTTCCAGGCTTCTCGTTCCTATTGGCGTCGGAAGGGTTCTGGCCTTCCAGGTTGGGACTGCTCTAATTTTGGGAAATATTTTCAGAATCCCCCACCCTTTTTTTTCTCGAGCACCTTCATCATCACTTTCACCTCTTAAAGAACTTCCAGCTTCATGCTTTCATCACATCTGCCTAAATTTATGGATAACACCTGTTTCGAAAGATTGGGTAAATAGCCAATCAGACACCCGATACTTTCGTCCTAGGGTAGCTAATTGTTTTTTTATCGTTTGCAATGCAAATCCGCCAACAGATTGATTACGAGCCATCTAATTTTAATTCCTTATTCATGGTGTTGGTGTATTTAATTATGGCAAAGCACACGAGGGCTATCTGCCTATAAAGAGGGATGCCTTCGTGGAATTCCTTATTCATGAGAAATTGCAATTCACACTTAGAATGGCAATCATTAGAAATGATAAGAAATGTCAACTGAGCAAAATTAAGGACCATTTATTCATTTTGACCAAAATTAAGGACTTTTAAGGACCAAAAATCATTTTTGAAAAATTTAAGGACTTTTAAGGATCGTACGAACCCTGTATATATATATATATACTTATGAAGGCCTTAATAGAAATTGAAAAAAAAAAATAAATAAAGAGCATCTCTTTTAAAACTTTTGGGATTAAACCAGTAATGTGGCATTTGAGAGGATTACATAAATAACAGTAATATAGTTTGAAATTTGTTAATCAGTCTCTCATTGTATGTCATGCCACCTAATCTGACATATGTGATCAAAATTGAGAAGGTTCCATCATTCTTTGAGAAATTATTCATGAAAAAGGATAGGGATTAGCTTCTTTGAAATATCATATTTGTGTTTGTAAATAATCTTGATAATTAGCCTCCGATATGACACATTTCAGTTCATACTGAGCGAAAATTACCGACACTTTTCAATTACATGTGCACCATGAAAAACATAACATATTTCATATCAATTGAGATTATCATATCCTGCTCCTTTCAAATCCTCTGTTTTGTATTCTATCCAGAAATCAAAAAAACATTTCCTACCATCGGTGACATTTTTTTCAATTGCACCAAGTAAAGTTTTAGATAAACGATGAAAAACAGGAACACTGTGCAAAAAAAAAAAAAAAGGGGGGGACAGTTCTATATCTCCCGTTCTACTGGGCCGATTGCTGAAATTCAACTTGCGCTTTTCATGCCCCGAAAGCGCGACTTAGGATATGTATTAGAGTTATGTATAGCATTGTTCTAATATACGTATTTTGACACAAAAGCGGACTTTTTCTGAAATAACATATCAATTTTCTTCCATATTTCGATTCTACAACTCAAATTACGCCAAACTACCAAGTTTTGTAAAAATCGCACAAGTAGTTTTTAGAAAATTAGCTCTCAAAATTTTAGCTCCTCGATATTAATCGAGTTTGGAATATATTTATTAAATCTCTCTTTTTTTAATTAAACTTATTTGATTCTCTCCGTTCACATTTTGAATTCAGGTTTAATTCCATTTTTTTAAAGATTGATTTTTAAATATTTTAAATAATTTTTATAAATTTTTCAAAAACATTTTTGAAGAATAATCTTTAAAAAATTTTACCATCAAGTTGATACCATCAAGTAAGTAGATGTATTCTAAGCATACCTGCAAAAAATTATAGTTTCCTATTCAAAATTTCCGAAGATATACGTGAATTTATATATTGGTGTATTTTGAAATTTGGCATATTTGTTGAAAGCAATAAAACATCAAATGTGGCTTAGACACTTTGCTAAAATTATTTGAAAGTTAGAACAATGTGACTTTTTTTTGCTCATACACAATGTAAAAAGATAGGAACGAGGTGCCTTTTTTCGCTGCTCCGGGAAAATGGAAG